CGAACCTCACGATGAAGATTTGAGAGTGCTCAGAGTCAATTGGATAAAGGAAGACGTCAATGGAATCAAATTTAGTCAAAAGATGATCACAAATCAATTTCCAACCGAAAAGTTATGCTCCGATGTTTTAGTCTCATATTGAGACCTATTTTTGGCATATAAAATGATCGAATTGGAGAATGATGTCTGAATCAAAGTTGTAGCCAGATGAGTTAGCTTTTCAACTCATTTTGAATCGCCTCAATCGGACATCGGAATACAAAGTTATGATAAAAAAACTGAAGGAATGTGCAGCTGCCTGTTTAAAACAAGAAATTCCGTTACATAGTCCGTTAAAACAACAAATTCAGTTAGTTTTTCCGTTAAAAACAACAAATTCGGTTATATAGCTACTTTTAATATATAGAAGATATATATATATATATAGAATCATTGCTGTCTCCTTCATTCAAATCCTTCTAACAATTGGCCATCTGAAGTAAGAATCACCCGTCTTTTAAGAATAACCATTTTGTTGGTAAAGCCTTAAGAAGATATCAATCTTAATCTAAAATGCAGTACGAGTGTATGAACACCAACAAATGAATAAAGCAATCCCAAAAGCTTGCACCTATTGCAGAAAACCATCTTTAAAAATAAAATAAAATGAGGGAACAAAGAAAGAGTTCCTAACAACAGGCTATCAGTTCTTGCAGGCAATCTCCTCAAGAATGTTAACGGATAGCAGGGAAGCTGATCGCAAAACCTAGGATGCCTCATCGCATAAAACCCGATGATGATAATAATAGCTTTGGGAGGTGTTACATACAGTACGATAGAAGCAATCAAACAGAAGATAAGGAACATAGATATAGTTCTAGGATCTCGCCAACTTAATAGGTTATAAAACCTCTCCCCCTGAGTAGCCAAGTCCCCAGCAACAGTTTGAACCCTCGAGGCAATAACTCTTAGCCTATAGTATCTCATTTTCACTACATCACTATGCTTTTGAGAAGTTGGGAAGAAAGGATCGAACTCTTCATCTAGTTCATCCATGTGTGCTGTATCGGCTTGAGATAGCCTAATGTCCATGTGAGGAGGATGTCTAGGTCTCCCTCGGTAATTCCATGTTCCAATTAAGAAAATATGTAGGAATATAGTGCTTAAAATTATCCATGGAAAACAGACTAATGTCGAGAACAAAATGTGTACAAGAATTGTAACGAAAGGATTCTTCCAAGTGGAGACATGATCAAACAATTTGCAAAATGCTATGATGCCAGATAGGATCCCAGCAGTTCTATAATGATTAGCTTTGCTTCTTCTTATGCTCCACATGTTCGAGCCCACATCTAGCATATACTCCACTACCTCTTTCCTCAACGGCGGCTCTGCACGGCTCAGCCTCATGGAGACAATTTGAGTAGCTTGATACCTCAAACTATCAATCTGGTGACTTGTAAGGGGGTGAAGGTAATAAAGGTTTGGCAACATTAGCTGCGAGTACATTTGTAGCAAGTAAAATAACGAACAATAAGAAAAACTCACAGCCAATTGAATGTGACCCATCTTCTTCATGCTACAAGGCGACAACACTATAAGAGGGTACAAATGAGTGTAAACACGACCAGTCTAGATTGTAGGCTGTCGAATCCTCACCTTTCCAATTCTTGAATCCTTTACTCCTCCATTTTGTCCTTGTAGATGACAATTGTCAAACACACCAATTGTTATAATAGTACATAGATCAAAAACCTCCCATGTGTATTGTTCATCCCATATTTGATTAAAACTATTTATAATCATCCTTGTCCTAATCCATTTCTAACCATACTTGGCCACACAATAGGCATCTGCCATTCCTTGGCCATCCTTAGTCTTCATTGATGACAAGTTTTTGGCATTTAAAATTCCCAATTCGAGCACCCCAATGGGAGGCTTCCAAAACTGCTTAGCCACCGGCCTAAGATCACTACTATCGTGTGTTAACTCGTCAAGATCATGGTACCCGGCATCCAAAGTGATCCTCAATTGAATCCTGCAATTTAACTTGGTTACATTACTCTGCCCATCCCCTGAAACTGTATGCTTCTCAAGAATATACCACCTGCCAATAGGAGACCTGAAATTCAACCTCTTTCTACATCCTGTAAAGGTATCATGCACTTGTTAAGGATAGAGGTTCCATCTTAAAAGGTCAACCTTATTAAGAGGAGTAATCCAATCCTCTATAGGTTGGTTTATGTTTATATCTTATTCGATGTGGGATTCTATCCTTTAACATGCCCCGCAAGATGGCTCGTTTGAGCAGACCAATCTTGAAATCAGTATGCTCACTTTTGGAGTCTTAATCGGAATGAATTGCTCATTGAGCTTAATGGGCTCTGATACCATGTTAAGAATTGTTCTTCAATCTTAAAAGGTCAACCTTATTAAGAGGAGTAATACAATCATTTATAAGTTGGTTTATGTTTACATCTTTATTCGATGTGAGATTCTATCCCTTAACAGCACTTGCCATGACATTCATCCTTATTAGGCCCTATTTTAGCCCCCATACTCAAAACGAATTGTTCCTCAACCTGTTCTGCAACTACAAACATTAAATCCTCATTCCACATTGGACATGTAGTCCAAACTTTGAGAAACTTTAGTCCTCAACATCATATTCCCAATACATGCCTTCACAAAAATCTCAATCTCCAGCGACTGCCTATTCTTGTCACAAAGTTGCAATTCTTGAGCCTTGATCACATTTACTCTAAGATACCATAGTTAAGTGACAAATACACTTCGGACTTAATACAAGTGACACCATCACCACTGATGGCTGAGGCATCCAATTGCCACACCTCTGGGAATGCCTCGTTCGCTTGAATCCCCAACCAAAAAGCTAGCATCAATTCTCCAGCCACCCTTTCTCCTTTTGCATTCTCCAACCTATACCATTGCAGGGCTAAAGGACTATCACGTAGAACCATTTTCGGAACATCAATGATATCAACTACAAGCATTCCAATCAAATCATCACCAATTCTGGGTGTGTTTGATGGATATTTTTGACGAAAAAATGTATTTTAAATAGTGATGATGGAAAATATGTGGTTAAAAAGTAAGGAAAAGCTATTGATGTAATCGAAAATATTATTTTATTGAAAAATGTGCGGTTGAAAATGAGTTTTGAAAGAATGTATTTTTAGGCCCCGTTTGATCTGCATTATTATCTCATTAAAATAAAAAATATGACCGTTATCCATCACATCAACATTTAAATTCAAAATTTCTATCTCTTACGTGGGCCCCAATAACGGCTATATTTTTCATTCTCAAATAATTTGGCTCAAACAGGGCCTTAAAGAATGTGTATCAAACATGATTTCTATCTTTTTCCTTCACCAATATCTCAATAAGCAGAACCTGAATTTGACCTGCCAAGATAAAAAAAGCTTGATTCCACTACGGATTAGGCACATTACCAAAATGTTTAGTAATGGAAATAAATCCTCCAAGTTTGACTTGGACAAACGGGCTTGGGCTACCATTCCCATCCTTTGCAGGCAACTCCTTGGCTTTCGCCGCCCTCATATACAGGTAGTCCATTCCCTCCACCAGATCAAAGGCGGTCCCTTCTCGTTCATTGCCGGATACCCTTCCACCACCGAGGCCGGCGAGGTCTCCCTCAAGTTGAAATCCTCTTCAGGGTTTGGATTTCTATTAGCATTCAGGTTCTGGTTTTGGCTTCTGCTTTGATTCTGATTCGTGTTTTGGGTAGCCATTTTGACAAAACCTATAATATTGCCTGTAACAAAAATAGAAAATGTTGAACAAGACTTTCAAAATGTGTATGATTTTCAAAATAAAAAATTTTAAGAGGCCTAAAAAATTGGAATTGATATAAAAGACTTAAAACAGAGCCGTTACAAAATAGCATAGAAATATACGTGGATTTGATTTTTTTCTAAAAGTTTGGTAACTGGAACAGAATGCAAGCAAACCAACGGCTTTGAATTGATTTTTCTGAGAATCCAATGTTTGAAATTATTAAGAAAAACTCCGTAAAATCAGAAATAAAAACCATATACTTTCTTAGGCTCAAAGAAATAATAGTTAAAATTCGAAATTAAAGACGCAGAACCCTAAGAAGAAGAACACACAAATATAAGCGTGTCTATATAGGTGTGTATGCATAATGTATTTACTTACAGAACACAGCAGTTAGTGTTAGATTTGGAAAGATAGAATTATGATATAATTGATTTGGTAGAAATCTGAATTTTGTATTCAATCTCTTAAAATTAAATTGAATAAAACAGTACAATGAGCTGTCTTTATTTATACAGTTAAAAGGAATCTTATCCTAACAAATTCACCAACTAAATTACAAGCCACTAAGCAAGGAAAAAAAATTTGTACAAAGGAAAAACAATCTAACAAACTTCCTTCTAGACTATTCCATTTGCTGCCTTATCATCAGTCCTGTTGGCATCTCTTATTGCTGATTGAGCTCCAGCTGGTTCATATCCTCTTGCTGATCGAGCTGCAGTTGCTCTCCATCTTCTAGCTGCTTTAATAGTCCCCCGCAAGATGGAGAGTAAATATTCATTACTCCCATCTTAGATAAACAAGAATAGAAACTTTGAGAATTTAAGGCCTTGGTAAGGCTTGGACCTTGCTACCTCGATTCCCAGAAAGTACTTCAACCTTCCCAGATCCTTGATTTTTAATTTCTCACTGAGAGAAGCTTTGTGTTTGCTAATTGAATCATGAAAATTGCATGCCACTATTATATCATCGACATAGATTAAGATAGCAGTAAAATTATCACCGGTTAGCTTCGTAAATAGGTTGTAATCCGCTTTTGATTGAGTGTATCCATGTTGAACAATAAAGTCAGACAGTTTTAAATACCATTGGCATGAAGCTTGCTTCAACCCATACAAGCTCTTGCATAACTTACATACTTTGTTGCTACGGTATTAGAGTAACCAGGGGGCAACTCCATGTAGACATCTTTATCTAAATTACTGTGCAAAAATGCATTGTTGACATCAAATTGGCACAGATTCCATCCCTTCATTGCTGCCACTGCCAACAGAGTTCTGATGGTAGTTAACTTTGCCACAAGAGAGAAAGTCTCGTGATAGTCAAGCCCTTCTAATTGAGTGTAGCCCTTTGCTACTAAGCTTGCTTGAACCTTTCAACACTGCTATTAGCATTGAACTTGACCTTATATACCCACTTACATCCTATGGCCTCCTTACTAGGTGGTAGATCAGTTAGAAACCAAGTGTCATTAAGTTCAAGGGCCTCAATCTCAGCTTTCATTGCGGTACACCATTCAGGTAAGGTTATGACTTCTTGGTAGGTTCTAGGTTCAGAGTAATTGTTATAGAAGTAGCAAAAACACGATGAGGGATGGATAATTTTTCATAGGAAACACTGCTATTTAGAGGATACTTATTGCCTAAAGTGCCAAAATCCTTTCTATTGCAGAACCTTTAGAATGGGAGAGGTGAAGAGACTTGTTAACATAGAAAGTCTTGTAGGTGAGGATGAGTCCTTCGAATTCTGTTGGACCTGCGGGGTAAGTGAGTAATAACAGGATGATCTGACTCAAAAGACTCAATGGCTGTGTTGGATTCTGTGATGTCAAGATCAGTGCCTTTAGGGGATTCTACATAAGATGAATTCTTTGAAGTGTTATGCTCATTATCAACTGAGGGGGTCACAGGAGGGTCATTGGAGATGACAGGGTTCTGGGTAAAACTTAGAAGATCAAAATCAGTCAAGAAGGTATTGAAATTCATTTTTTAAATGGAAAAATCTCTTCATGAAAGATGACATTTCTTGAGATAAATACTTGATCTGTTCTCAAGTCCAACAGCCTATAACCCTTTACCCCCAAAAGGATATCCAATGAACACACATTCCCTAGACCTTTTATCAAACTTTCGCCTACCATTGACAAGAGTGGATGCATAAGCCAAGCATCCAAAAACCTTAAGGTGAGAATAGTTGAGTCTGACCTGGAACAGAACTTCAAAAAGGAGTTTTGTGGGTTAAGATAGGTGTTGGTGTTCTATTTATAAGATATACAGCTGTTACTATAAAATCATTCCAGTACTTTAAGGGGAGTCCACTTTGAAACTTTAAAACTCTTGCCACATTCAAAATATGTTGATGTTTTCTTTCTACGATCGCATTTTATTCAGGTGTTTCTGCACGTGTTTTTTGATGTATTATACCCTTCTTTTTGTAGAAATTTGTCATGTTGAATTCTCCACCGTTATCTGTTCTGATGGTTTTAATCTTTGTTTCAAATTGAGTTTCCACCATAGCACAAAAACTTTCTAAGGCAGATGAGGCATCAGACTTAAAATTCAGCATATAGGCCCATGTACATCTACTAAAATCATCAACGATAGATAGAAAATACTTAGAATTATCTCTGCTGAATTCATTACAAGGCCCCCAAATATCACAGTGAATTAATTCAAAGCATTTCTCTATTTTGTGGTGGCCAGAATTAAAAGGTAATCTATGTTGTAAGAGCTAAGGAACAAATGGGACAATGACTGATGCTAGATGATGCAGGGATAAAGGTGTTTTCATTAGGACTGAAATTAGAGTATGAAGAGTGACCTAATCTGTAATGCCACAGATTAAGCTCTTTATTATTCCTGATAACAGATGCAAAGGAAGTAGATAGATGCTTGAACTGATTGATGGTTTCTGTCATGGCTGAAGAGGAGACTTCCTTTCTCACCATGTGATATAGTCCATTCTTCACTTCACCCATTCCAATCATTCCCTATGTCGAAAGGTCCTGGACATAACAACAGTTGGAGAAGAAAACAAGACAGCAGTTAAGAGTTTAAGTGAGTTACTTTGCTGAAATTACATTGAAGGTGAAACTAGGAATGCAAAGGACATTATGCAAAGTAATATTTTCTAAAATTTTCACAGTCCCTATATGTGTGGCTGGGACACTTTCACCATTTGGTAAGGCCATAGAGTGTGTCACTTTAGATTGAATGGATGTAAAAAATGAGATGTAACAGGTCATGTGATCCGTTGCTCCCGTGTCAAGAATCCATGGAGTTTCAAGATCATTTTCATGATTGTTCTGATGAAATGTGGTTAAACTTAAAGGTTTACCAAACAATTTATGACTGAAGTTATCTGATAAGGAATGATTTGTGGTATCGTGGACATTGTTCTGATGATTTGCTGTTGGCTTGAGGAGAGCCATTAGTTGAGAATATTGTTCTTGACTTAATGACATCTGGCCCTTGTCTTTCACCACCTCCTGATCAGAAACCATATTTGCAGCTGATTTTCCCTTATCACTCAGCTTCTGCCCCTGTGGGAATCCATGAAGCTTATAGCACTTGTCGACTGAATGCCCAGGGATCTGACAGCAAGAGCAATGGCTTGTTTGGATTTGCCTTGAAACACCTTTCAAGGGAATGGCCTGTGATTCAGCAATGAGAGCAATAATATATGTCCCTTTCTTTCTTTTGCCAGGAAGAACTTTGCTTTCCTCCCTCTTTAAAGTTCCTTTTGCTTAGAAAGGCCATGGGATCTGAATTGACTAAACCAGTGTTTGATATTTCTCACCTCTTTTCTTGTTGTTGGATTAAGGAATATACCTCATTCAAACTAGGAAGCGGCTTAATCAGTAGAACCTGAGCCTTGATTTCTTTATAGGACTCATTCAACCCCATTAAAAACTTCAAGACCCAGTCTGTCTGCTAGTTTTCAATTACTATCTTCAGGCCACCACAGGTGCAGCTAGGGATAATCTCATAGTTCAGTAACTCGTCCAGTAAGATCTTGAGTTTGGAATAATAAATACTCATAGTGTCTTGGTTCTGCATCATGGTAGTAATGTCCTTCTTAACTTCAAAAATGTGTGGAGCATTTTGTTGAGAGAAACGCTGCTCAAGATCAATCCAAAGGAGATGGATTGTTTCAGCATATATCGTGCTGCTCTTGATATCAATAGCCATAGCGTTCTGCATCTAGGTGATGACAATGTCATTGCATCTTAACCAATGTTCTAGGGCTGTAAGCAAAAACCGCCAAACCGAAAAACCAAACCGAAACCACAATTTCGAAACCG